GACTTTATATGAACCCCCCAAGCGCACCGATCGCCCCCCCCCCCCCCCCCAACTCCCACCGGAAACGACTGCACGTTGTTGTAATTGTAATTGGAAAGAACAAGCAGCGGCACAATCGTCTGGGAAAGTGCGTCGTACCCGTCCTCGGCCTTGTCCATGCTACCCAAATTTGATATATGTTTATATAAAATCCTTTGATAGGCACACTAAAATTCGAAATCTGACCCACGGGGGCTTACCCTTTAGAACCGGCCTTTGGCATGGCTTTTATCCTTTTGTCCAACCGCTTACGGGCTTTCCCGCTTATACTTAATAATCTTTAATATATATATACTATGGATATATATACGAATATGATAAAAAATGGCCTTACAACAGTACCGGATGGACTAAATACGCCTTTTTAATTTACTAATACCGGTTTGAATTGAATTTATTATAAGTGATAATACCCACCAGGTATTTGTAAATAAGTCGGTGAAACTTACGTATGTCATGTAAATTAAGGTTCGTTCACGTAAAGAGGATTAAGAAGACCCACTGACCTGACATAAGATGCTTAGAGGCGTATTTCAACGGTGGGACAACGCTACTAAAGTGCTCGTGCGTACTTGTGCCTCTTAATTTACGCGGTAACTTGTAAACGCGATCCGTGCTACCATCCAGGTGGATGTTGGTTGAAGTAAATGCTATAACACATTTATTTCTGACATTGTCGGTCCGGAAGTATGTGAGTATATCACACTTGACCTATTCTTATATTCACGATTACTAGATTAGGTATATATATCTTTTTCCCCTTCTTTAACTGCGTATCTGGTACACTAGTAAGTTTATTCGTAGACGGTGTACTACATTGATAAATGTTTGATCCTATAAATTGTAATACATATCTGTTAAAGATTCTTAAGACATATCAATTACCGACAGATTATACAGGAGTAGAATTCGTTTCATTATACATTATCCTACCCATATGATTACATATATTTGTTATTCCAAACTATTAGTATCCTTATTTAGGTGTAGTTAATGTTTAATTTAATGTTAAAGTTCCCTTAGACGTTTTATCCATCAGACAGGAGTACTCAGTTAACATTTTGTTTGATTTATCAACTATCAGATATTATCACTATGGAGCTGTACTGTCACGATTATCTTATTATCGGATACGAAATCTGCCATATACCCTTGTGACAAAACACTGCAACATATTCTAAGTTACCTTCCAGCTGAATGAATAATGAACCACAGTTTGAGTGCATTGACAGCACCTGACTCTGTGGCTCCTTGGAGCTGCAGATGATAAAACACTGTTATTTATTCTCTGGCTCATTGTAGCTTATTCATAATACCTGCTTAAACTTTTAGACACATACGGGACACGTTTGTTTACATTTTTTCCAGCAGGCCGTTTAATGCACTTTGCTGACTACAAACATCAGTGCTTATACGAACTTGTCATTGCCTACACCTTTAAAGTTTGAATGACACTGCAGCCAACCTACTAAATAGGACACTGGCTGCTGTAGTAAGCACTTCACAGAAGGTGAGCACAGTCGTGTGAGCAGGAGGCTGCAGCAGGGATAACCACTCTCTATCCTGCTCTGTTAACAAAGACAAGTGTTTCAATACTCTTTAGTGATTAAAAGCTTGAAGAGCATGCTGGGAGTAAAAGGAGATCCGGTGTAATTCAGTTTTGTTGTTGTGTTCATTAAAGCCACTTAACAAACACGTGGGCTTCTTGGACTATGAAGTTAATCTCTAAAAACACAAGTTTTACCAAATTAATCATAGTTTACTATTCTGTGTGCACTCACTTTTAAATAATGACTTTTTAATGTATTTCTGTGTAATGTTGGAGCTCCATTAGAGAGGGACTAATCAGATTAATTAAAACATGTATTTAGTGGTCTGTATTTGCCAAAATGCCAAATTAGACAAGGTGTGAAACCTCAAGGTTCATGGCCGCTCTGGGAAAGGAGGACTATTTGGGTTTTGAGTTGAGCTTCAAGAAAAGGCTGCAACCTAGCTGCTTAATGTTTCTCAGGTATGTTAACCCTGGTCACCTTGTTAGTTAATTATGTTGTTGTGCTAACAATTTGAAACAGAGTTCACATTGAAGCTGAGAAAGGCCCCTGCTTCACCCACTATGCTATGTCTATGCAATGGCTCCTTTCATTGCAGGTTAAGGATAATATTTCCCATAGGACTACTGTTGGTCTCCGTAACGTCCCCTGTGGTTTTCTGAAGAGCCAATCTAAAGGCTGGCTTTGGCAGTTGGGACTCCACCTAACCTCATTTCGTTTTACTATGTGAAAGGACAATAAATAATCTAATCTTTATCCAAAAAGGGGAAGAAATAGCTAGCAATCATCATTCAAAGTTGCCACACACTTATTGATGCATACATTTATGTATTAATATAATTTATATGGGTGACTTTTATAAAAAAGCTTTATCCAAACGCTAATAGTATGCTAAAATGCTCACAATGACAGTGCTAAAATGCTAATGCTTAGACGGTGTAATGTTTACCAGGGTCAAAGTTTATCTTGCTATCATGCTAAGGTTAGCTAATTAGCACTAAAGACAAACAAACGATTTGAGCCAAAATAAAAGTAGCAATATATTGACAGTTTAGGTTTGAACAAATCATTTACAATTCATCTTAAGAGAGACATGAATTTAAGATAGATACGTATATTGTTGTGACTGGAACTGAATACAAATAGTTTCTAGTGCCTACTAAATATTGTAATGTTTCACCTCCCTATCGCCAAAACTATTTGTGAGGTGGCTCTAACGCTCCACTCTTTTGTTAACAGGCATCATGATTCCTGTGATGGAATTCCGGCAGTTCTCTGAACAGCAGCCAGCGTTCAGAGTCCTGAAGCCGTGGTGGGATGTGTTCACTGACTACCTGTCCGTAGTCATGCTCATGATTGGCGTGTTTGGATGCACTCTTCAGGTCAGTAACACTGCCTCACCATGATGTCTCTTCTTAAGAGAACACACTGTAAGCATGCTGTTTTGTAATGACTTGTGCTGCTTGTGTTTACTCTTTTCAACAGTAATCATCTCTTTAAAAGCGTGGGAGAAATGAAGCTAATGCACGCTTATCTAGTTCAAACTGCAACATGTGTATGAGAAAAACTGAATTGTTCTAATTTTCATTACATCAACAGTTATTGTATTCGTGTTTAGGCACTCTAAAAGACCATTATAGAACATTACTGCTGTGCCTCATGCACTGGCACCAGCTCAAAGACACTAATTATCTTATTTTACAACCTGGCCTGTGTGCAGCAAAGGAATCATTCAGCCGGAGTTTACCAGTGGAAACATTTTCCCACCCAGCCCCTTTTAGTAAACATGAGATTCCAAACTCTTGTGGCCTGGCACTTAACTTCTCTCTCAGTGGGGAAAATAGGAGAATTTTGTTTGGCTGCTGCAATACTATGTTGTGCAAATACTGGAAAGTATACCAAAACATTCTTCAAAACAACTGTTAACAGGATATTCATCAGGCAGGGAGCAGCTATTGTTTCCCAGTCTCACTATAACACTGTTTGGACATAATCTAATAGTTTGTAAATGGAGCGGATAATTATTTATGTAGCCAAGCTTACTTCCCAAGTCAGAACTTTATCAACATGCCATTTTGTGTTATTACTTCATTGCCTCACACGATATTCCCTGCGTTAAACGTGAGAAGGAGAAAAACAGAGAGAGACTGAGCCTGTATAATCCTCTGTATACAGACCACGGCAGACTTTTCATTTCAGTCTGTGATGTCCTGCAGCACAACAGCATAGCCTTACCATAGTAATAATGTCCAGGGTAGTTTGCTTGCAGATACATAATAGTTTCAGATTATTTGCCGCTGTAATGTAAAGAGTGCACAATATGCCTCCCCTATAGCCCTGCCACTATTGAATCAAAGTGCCCATTTCCTGTTATTACATTGCAGAGTAAAGCATCTGTTTTTCATGTTGTTTACTGTTGCAAGCTTTTGGCCAATATTTAGTATGATAACTTGCACTCAGTAAACATGTTATTTATCTAAATCAGGTTAGAGAGGAAACCAGTAACATTTGATCTGCCCCGAAGCCTGGTCACTTCAAATCCTTTTATTTATTCAACAGTTTCTATTACTCTGTTTACCGTTAGCACAGTTACAGAGCTATTCCTTGGCAGTGAGTCAGTGCATGATTGTAGATGGGAACACGCTTCTACTGAGCCAGCTGTGGAGTGTTGTCAGACTTCTTTGCTTGCGTTATACATGGTTAAGAAATTGCCATTCTCAAGGGGAAATCCAGCTTCAAAAATCATGTGTCTAATGCCAGGTTCAGTTTACACATAAGGTTTCTATTACAGTGGTCTCTGTGTCAGATTAGGCAAGTATTTACTATTTCTTTCATCAGCTGTCTCAGATGAAACTGCTTTGGCAAATATGAAAGGAAGATAAAAAAGAAACTTGCACCTGCTCAGCATCATAATTGATTGATCATTCTAACGTTATGATACCTTCACCCTAATCTTTAACTTTTTCCTACGTTTTGTTTCAGGTAATGCAAGATAAAATCATATGCCTTCCTCAGAGAGTTTTGCCGCCTCCAGAGAGCACAAGTGAAGTGGAAGTAAAGTCACTGTTACACCTGCAATCCAATATTTCTGCCGCACCAAGAGAAATGACCGGCCTGAAGACCGATCTGGATCTTCAACAGTACAGTTTCATCAATCAGATGTGTTACGAGAAGGCTCTGCATTGGTATGCCAAGTACTTTCCTTATCTGGTTCTCATACACACACTAATTTTCATGGTGTGTAGCAACTTCTGGTTCAAATTCCCTGGCTCCAGCTCTAAAATAGAGCATTTTATCTCCATGCTTGGCAAGTGCTTTGATTCTCCCTGGACCACGAGAGCTTTGTCGGAGGTGTCCGGAGAAAATCCTGAAGAAAAGGATAAAAAGAGCATTACTCTTAGGTCCAACATCGCCGTGTCTCCTGGTGAAGGAAGCTTGGAGAAGACACAGTCCCTCAGGTCGATCCCCGAAAAGATTGTGGTTGACAAGCCATCAGCGAGTGCTCTTGATAAAAAAGAGGGTGAACAAGCAAAAGCTCTTTTTGAAAAGGTGAAGAAGTTCCGTTTGCATGTCGAAGAAGGAGATATCCTTTATCTTATGTACGTACGGCAGACAGTGTTCAAGGTATTCAAATTCCTCCTGATCATTGCCTACAATAGTTCTCTAGTGAATAAAGTGCAAAATAGAGTGCATTGTGTAGTTGAGATCCAGGACATGACAGGCTACAAAAACTTTGAATGTAATCACACAATGGCTCATCTGTTTTCTAAGCTTTCCTACTGTTACCTGTGTTTAGTGGCTGTCTATGGATTAACAAGCCTTTACACGTCTTACTGGCTGTTTTACCGCTCACTGAAAGAATACTCTTTTGAGTATGTGCGTCAGGAAACGGGCATCAATGACATCCCAGACGTCAAGAACGACTTTGCCTTCATGCTACACATGATTGATCAATATGACCCTCTGTATTCTAAGCGATTTGCAGTTTTTCTATCCGAGGTCAGTGAGAACAAACTAAAACAGCTCAACCTCAATCATGAGTGGACCGCGGAGAAACTGCGTCAGAGACTGCAGACTAACAGCAACAACAAACTTGAACTCCAGCTGTTCATGCTCCCGGGGTTACCTGACACTGTCTTTGAGTTGACAGAGCTGCAGTCACTCAAGCTAGAGATTATCAACAATGTCACCATCCTTGCCTCAATCTCTCAGCTGGAGAACCTTCAGGAGCTGTCTCTTTACCAATGCTCTTTAAAGTTGCACACAACAGCTACCTCCTTCCTCAAAGATAACCTGAAAGTGCTTCGTGTTAAATTCGATGATAACAGGGAACTTCCAAACTGGATGTACGGTCTGCGCAACTTAGAGGAGCTCTATCTCACCGGGTCTCTGAGCCCTGACGCCTCCAAAAACATAGTTCTTGAGTCGCTGCGGGACATGAAGTGTTTGAAAACGCTCTCCCTCAAGAGTAATTTGACCAAGATACCCCAGTCTATAGTTGATGTTTCCAGCCATCTGCTTCGGCTATACTTTCACAATGATGGCACTAAGCTAGTAATGCTCAACAACTTGAAAAAGATGACCAACCTGATTGAGCTGGAGCTAGTACGTTGTGATCTGGAACGCATCCCACATGCAATCTTCAGCCTAACGAACCTACAAGAGCTCGACCTGAAAGAGAATAACCTGCGATCAATAGAAGAGATAATCAGCTTCCAACATCTTCGAAAGCTCACTTGCCTCAAACTGTGGTACAACAGTATCATGTATATCCCAGAGCATATCAAGAAGCTTGGTAGCCTAGAGCGCCTCTACTTCTGCCACAACAAGATCGAGGTATTGCCTTCGCACCTGTTTTTGTGCAACAAGCTGCGCTACCTGGACCTATCCAACAATGACATCCGATTCATCCCTCCAGAAATTGGAGTCCTTCAGAGTCTACAGTATTTCTCTGTGGTCTGTAACAAAATCGAAAATCTACCAGATGAGCTCTTCTTTTGCAAAAAGCTCAAAATACTAAAGCTTGGCAAAAACTCACTGTCCATACTCTCGCCAAAGGTTTCCTACCTGGCTCTACTGACATACTTGGACCTAAAGTGCAACCACTTTGAGGTTCTGCCACAAGAGCTCGGTTGCTGTCATGCTTTGAAGCGCAGCGGCCTTATAGTGGAAGAGACACTGTTTGAAACTCTGCCTTCCGATGTCAGGGACCAAATGAAGGCTGAGTGAGATGCCTTATAGTAGCCACAGTGCCTGCTGCGTGTTCTGTCTACCAGATCAGAGCATTTGTTTTGTATGAACTCATTACCAAAGTTAAGTATTACACAGCTGTTATAAAAGTTATTTTTTCAAGTTTCTTTGAAAAATGAGATTGCACTTACTCATGTTGTCACATGGAGTGTGGCTGCAACAGGGTTGATTGTTCTGCTGTTATTCATCTTTCACATACTATCAAACCACAAATCATTCCTCAACTAGGAGTTCTTGCTAAGAGTCAGATGAGATCAGATCAATCTCATTATTTGCAAATTAAACATGAAGGCACAGTTAGCAGGCTATTCGCTTTGCTTACCACAGTCTGCTTCTGTCCAACAGTGAAAACATACCTACCAGCACAAAGCTAACTTAATACATGTTATATTGCTTGCTTGTAGCTGCATTAAAACTGAAGTAGTGTGAATTGGGGATTACATGCTAGACTATTTTAGGGCCTGGTTTAGTTTTGGAGTATCCTAATTAGAAAGCTTTAGAGGTGATGGTCGGCAGATTTGTTTAAATCATTGGACAGAACCATGCTAGGTTCATACCTCCCCCCATTACAGTCTTAATGCTAAGGTGACTGTGTTCTGGCTTGAGTTTCAGATTTAGCAACCAGGCACGAGATACTGTATATATCCATCTTATTATCTAACTCTTGGCAAGAAAGCTAAATAAGTTTTTTTTTTTTTACAAACTATTTTTAATGTACATTTCCTGTCAGTGCTACATGAAATAATTTGATTACCAAAAATATCACTTAGGTTAAGGCCAGTACACTTGGGTATTCTGTATGTGTTTTGCCCTTATAAGTCCTTTTGTATTATTCAAGAGACTGGATCACAGCAGGCAAGATGCAAAAAACAAGGAATATAAGAACATATAATGCCTTAGCTAAACAATTCTGTATCATATAAAAATACATATTTAAAGTTCATTAAAACTTAAAGGATTGTAATACCGGTGTTTTTTTTCCACTCTTGAAATGTGCACAAGAAATATGCAACCTATTTCAAAAATGTATTTTCTTAAACAGTTTTTTATGTTGTTGACCATTAAAAATAAACAATCATTTGGAAACATCATATGCTAGGATGGATTGTTTTCTTGGTCTTAACAGAACACAAATCCACCATTTAATTAGGACAATGTTCTTTGGCAGAACCAATAAGATTTTAATATTATTTTTTTTTAAATTAAACAAAAGGAAGGTGAAATTTGGTGAATATTATTTTATAGAATTGCAAAAGTATGTTGATTTTTGTACATTTGTATTTATTTATTTTTTCCAGAGACGATGCACAGAGAAGATGCACACATGACAAAAATAGCCTTTTCCCTCAAAAAAGTAGCTTTCAATTAAAGAAAAAATATAAAAATAGGAATCTATTATGAGAGTCTCTGGAATGTATCTTCAAGTGAAAGGCTTGTATTTTTTAGACCCAAGAAAACAAAGCTGTGATATAACTGAAATTGCACCCCTTTGCACTTTCACGACGGTCCCTAATTTCAGTGGGTCATCTCCTCTTTAACAGTGTCAACCAGTGCAAGGTTTGCTAAGAGCGCTATGCTGTACATCATATCAGGTTCTGATGTGAAACAACACCTGTTCCACACCAGGGGGGTATACTACGAAGCAGGATTTTCGCTTAGCCGGCTAACTTCAGGGAAAACTCGGGGTTTCCGGTCCTACGAAGCTGTTTCTCTTTTTAGCAGGCTAAATCTCCATGGTAACTTATGCTGAGCGGCTAACCTGCCCCGGAGCAGGTTAGGTTGCAGGCTAAGAGCTCAACTCAGTGAAATCACTGCCTGCTGACCAATCAGAGCTCAGTGTGATCAAGTCTTATTACAGGAGAAAGGAAATACAGAAAAGCTGCCGTTGCAGGAAAGACGGCCGGCAAAAATCTTCAGGGCAATCTGACTATTATAACATTAGCGTTAAGAAAGCTTACTTAAATATCTGCCACAACATAAGTAAACGGATCAGAGTAACATTAAGTACAGTCCGCGGCATATCACATCATAATGTATCATATATTTCCTTATCTGAGTCAGCTGAGACGTATCTGGCCGTGCAACACTCACAGTGTCACATACTGTATGCAGAAGTATTATTTTAAGCAACACATTAAGTTGACGAAACACTCGAGACAAATGTAATTAAAGTCAGATCCTCTCGTGTCATAGCTCATGATATATCCTGAGCCACATGAGGGACAATTTCGAATGCAGTTGTTGCTCATGATGTTTAATGGTTCTGTGCTTCAGTAACTGCCGAGGTTTGCTGAAGAAAAGAGGGAGCAGATTGGCAGTGATATCATAAACCTGTTAATGTACGCATTCAAACACTTTTTCTTTTACCAGCTGTATTCACCTTGAAGGTGCAACTATGTGGCTTTTATCCTGGATACAGTGTTTAAGTCATGGATGTTTAAAGTTTAACTTCTTCATATGTCTAATATTATAGTTGACTTTTCATTCAGGAAGTATGACGCTGCGCTGTCAGTACGCTTCTCCATGTTTGTGATGTTTGTGATTGGTCGAATGCTCCAAATACCACCCCTTTCATGTGAACGCGCACCTACAGTAACTAGATAGGGCACGGCTGGCTTGAGCAATCCACTTGATAACCCGCTTCGTAGTACCGTTTAGCGAGAGCGCGTATGTTTTGGATTAGGCCAACCGGCTAACTCAAACATATCCAGGTTTGGTTGAACCAGCTTCGTAGTACAGGCCTCTGATGTGACACATACATAACACTTGGGCCCCGTCTCAGGTCGGTTAAATGAAATCCTTGCTTCCCTCACTTGCGTTGTTTCCCTGCGTCTAGTCCCTCCCACCAGGGAAGCATGGAGGGACGCAAGGAAACCACGAGAAGCAGGGAAAGGGACTAGACGCAGGGAAACAACGCAAGTGAGGGAAGCAAGGATTTCATNCTGGAACTTAAAGCTGCGAACGCTTATTGAATGGTGCAGAATTACCGAACGGAGTTGGTATTTTGGCAATCCGGGGGCTCCCATGAACTTAAAGTAAAAAAAAAAATGGATGTGTTTTTTGTATAGATGCCGAACATTTTGATCTGTGCCTCATTGGTAAGCTTTAGGAGATGTTCAACATTTTGTTCTCATGTCATAACGTTACCTCAGTAAACGACTGGGGAATGCTGAGCCTTTTAATTCAAAAAGTGTGTAGGTTAGAAACATAGCCGCATTTTATATAGCTTGCAAGTCATGCCAAAACCTGATGTAGTTTGTTTTAGAGCCTTAACGCTATTATCAAAAGTGTGTTTGCCAGGAGGAGGTATTTTAATGCAATCAGATTCGGAAAATGCCCAAGTGAAAAATCGTCGCCCTTGAATGCTAGCTATACCTGTGAGCCTTACACAAATATTAAAATCAGAATCCCCACCCCTTCCCCTTATTAGTGTCTTTAACGCCGAGAGCTGTCAAATGCTCGGTTTCGGTAAATGTACTTGCGTTAAAGGTGGTAGATGTCACTTTTGAGTCAGTGTCGGCTTGCCATCTGGAGACTCAGAGTGTTGGCTGTAAAAGAAAGTTAAAGTTTTGGAGAGCAGGGATCTTTCACCGAGCCTCTCTAGCCTGCGCCGCATGCTCATCAGGCTCGTTCCAGGCCGCTACTAGCACACACAAGGGGATCTCGATCACACTGTCGTGGTCAGAGGGGTATTGCGTAGCTGGAGTCATTAGTATCTTAAGTCATCACCCTGCTGCTGTTGAGCCCTGTGATTGGGCTGGACCTTCACTACCCCAAACCTAATTTGGCCTTTATTCAAATTGCAGACCAAATCTGTCCCTGAAGTGCGGTTATTTCCTAAAAATCATTTTTGAAATCATTTAAAAATGTCAGGGCAAGACATAACGCGGGCACAGTGATATAAGTGCTGCGTCCAGTGCTGAGAGGCATTCGGAGGAATTGCTCTGATTGATTTCGGAAAAGTTACACAAGGATCTACCACCAGCGGCAGTCTCTTCATCCTGTTTATCTGTGGAACAAAAGCACTTTATCATAAAACTTCATTTCGTTTCCTGGAATTCCCTCCGGCAATGCACACCATCTCGGATGAATGTGGCGAAGAAGATTTTTGAACTTGTGCAACCATGATGTTTGTTGTTGGCAGTCCGAATGTCCCGTGATCAGCTCTTGCAGACCCTTGAAAGAAGCCATGCACAGATGTTTCTCTCTTTCTTATCACTTCTGCATTTTCTTGGACTTTGATATCTCAATTGCTAGCCCCTTTTGGGGAGGACGTTCGCAGTGCTCTAACAGTAGCTAACGATTCATTTCTTTCTAGCAAGTCTCTACATGCTTACCTTTAGAGCATTAAACTCACTTTTTAAAAGTTCCATCAGGTTATCTGACAGGTCCTGGCCTCGTTGGGGTAAAGGGTAAAAACCCAACACAGATGCACTTGTTGTAAGCTGCTTTAATGAAAAAAACAAATGGAAAGTGCGATACAAACAGTCGAGCGTACTTCTTGGGGTGCTGTGTGAAACAAGAAAGGAGGTTCCATGTTACTTTCCCCCAAACTAACCATTTGTTGAAAAAAAAAGCCATTGTTTTTTTAAAAAGAAAAGCCATTTGTTGATTGTCTTTTTAAAACAAATGATGAGCAATTTCTAATCTAAACAGACCCTATCAACAGGACTTAGTTTGCCTGCGACCAGGGGTGCCACCTTTTTCAGCTTGGGGAGCCTACTTTTTAAACATGACCAGCCGAAATGATCTACCTACAGGGTAGATCTGCCAATCTCCCTGGCCCAAGTCCTGGTTGCGAGTGTGTGGGGGGGCGGGGGCGGTTGGCTAGGTGGACTAAAGGCGGATAAACTGCGTCCGCCATAAGTAAGTAATGGCCCCATGGATGATAGGGCTGACTTTTTTAAAAAAATATATCTTCTTTATTTTTTTCATGCCGATGCGATCTACCAAGAACTACCTTTTCGATCGCGTATTGGGCCACGGGGTCTAGCTCTCCCAAACTGTTACAAACCTTTTTTTTTTTTATGGAAGCATTGTTCCTAACTTCAACTTAGCTGTTTTCAGTGTGCCTAAGCATCACTTAGACTCAACTCAGTAGCATTCTGGCGACGGCGACACTAAGAAACCACGAATTTTATTTTGTGTAGGTTTAGAAAAAGGAAAAATAGTTTTTTAAGGCTTAAAATGAGCTTTTGAGAAAGGATTTGAAAGGCATAGGTTGCGGAAACAATGGTGGTCATGGTTAAAAGAAAAGTCACTGGCGTTGTTGAGGGTTTTAAGCAATATAACTCTTGTTTGGGAATTACAACCCACTGGAGTATGATTCACACGGGTCCCTTAGACCAATAAATGTTAAAGGTCCCATGTCATGCTTGTTCTGGTTTATTACACTTCCCCTTGTGTGTTATGGAGGTTTTTCTGCATGTAAACGGTCTGCAGAAGTCAAAAACCTCAACGTACCATCCTGTAGCGAGTAACACTCTAAAACAGAAAAGACCTGTCTATCTGCCCAGAACGCTCGTTGGAGATTTTTAATTTCCTTTTCTTCTTTCGAGGCAAGGTTGACGGTCACCCTAGGTCCAAAATAGACCTATTGCTACATTCCGCACACATACACTCACTCAGCTGAGCTCCACACACACACACACACACACACAACACACCACAAACACACACACACACACACACAACACACACACACCACACACACAGCACCACACACACACACACACACAGCCACACACACACACCCGCGGCAACACCGCACCACCCAATCGCACTCGCCCGAGCACCGCAGAGGCTCAGAACCCAGCGCAGCAACCAGGAAACAACACCAGTAATCAGCTCACACTGCCCGCCTTCTTCGAGCCCCACAGGGCGGCACGCGAGCCCGCACGTCCCGAGCCCCGCAACGTCCCGCTAACATGGCACCCAGACCCCACGCAGCATTCTCATCTGTTT